AAAGCAAAATGAATTGAAAATTACAGTTAAATTACTTTATTTTGAACGAAGTTACCAATAGTTGTAGTTTGTAGTTTTAACAAGAGGTGTGCATTGATCATACTGGACATTCGAGTCTTAGGTTCGCTTCTCCATTTTTAATTTAAATCATTAAATGACCGAATCGTTCTAATCTACTTAAAATCGGAAACATCGGATGTCATCGAGAGTTGATGTCATGTTAATTAAAGATACATTATGGGAGATAAGATAAAGAGTTAAAAACTAGATAGTGTAAAGGTAAATGAGCCGAGAACGAAGCGGGTGAAATTTTCGCATAGTCTCGGTCATCATTACTAAAATCATTAATATAAACAGCATAGTCTCGATTATCCACTGTTTTGATTTAATTATCAATGGCCGTTCAGCGGCATATAGGAATCTAATCCAGCCATCATCGAAGGCTAGCCTTGACATCGAGAGTTTATTATGGTCTGGATAAGTTAATTAATGTCTAATTGATAATTTAGATAACATTTCAGGCCTAAATAAAGACTTGTAATAAGCAGATTTTGCTCTTGCATAAAGTATATTTAAACATACATTATGCAAGAGCTAAATCTGCCTATTGCAAGTCTTTATTTAGGCTTCAGATGTTATAGAAATTATTAAATAGACCTTTATTTACACGACAAGCTTAAAATCAACTCTGTAGATCCACGGATGGCTTGGATACAGTTTGGATTTAAACAGCCTCGTCCATTTAAAATTAAATCAATAAATGGCGGACCAAGCTAACGTTTACCGTTACTCGCTGATGTCACAACCGGAAACTGGTGATGATAAGCCTGCCAAGCGAGGCTTCCATAGCCATTGAGCATGTTACTTGATAATCGAGAATATGTGGGCGGAGTTATCGTTTGTCAATCAAACGATCGCCAATTCTCATAGACGGTGAAGACACAATTAATGCCTATTTCTAGTCCAAACTTCTAACAGTGACAGTTCCGTTCAGAACAAAGTAATTTGACTGAAATTTTCAGCATTTTTCTTTTTATCATCTATTTTTGGATTATTATAACAAGAATGGCCAATTCTTTATAAAACTCCTAACTAATGTATCTTTTATATCTAATTTATAATTTATATAACATGTAAGGCCCAAAAGAAAGACCTGCAATAGGATTTAGCTCTTACATAATGCCTGTTGAACTTACTCAAACAAGTTTAGGGGTGGATCTAGCGGACAACGATTACAATATACTATGGGAAAATAAAATATAAAACCAGTCAACTCAGACCTTTGCCATAGAATGTGTTTTATATTTATATGTATCCTGTACAGCCGTCCTGTACACATATTTAGTAGACGAATACACGGTTTACATACGATCGATTACCAATCACCAAATGAGAGAGAGAGAGAGAGGGGGGGGGGGAGATAGAGAGAGAGAGAGTTTAACGTCCACTCGACACAAAATAGGTCATTTCTGGACTAACACATGCTTCAATTTTATTTCAATAATTCGCTTGCGCGGAGAGGGAGGAAACTGGAGGACCCGGAGAAAACCCACGAGGTTGAACAGGCGACCTTACTCCTTGTCACGTACAACACTGTAGTTGACTCAATGACAGGCCTTATGATACAACGCACACGCGCTAACCACTCGGCCATCCAACCCCCCATCACCCAAATGGATTACCACCATTCAATTATAAATCAGACACTGATGGATTAAAACGTTTTTTTTTTATTTGAACACTTAAACGTAAAAGACGTTACTATGACAACACACGAATCAACAATATAAGTAGATTAACATTACAATATACAACTTCCGGTTTCATTAATTACAAACATTTATCTCTGTGTGCCATTTGTTATATTCGCTATATTTAAAACTCAAATTGGTTATTTAAGATTTAATTAAGAAAACAAAATAAAAATACCAACGCTAGATATACCTTTCAGAGCTTTAACTTTAACGATATACAGGGCCGAGTTTACCTCGCGATGAACCCTAGACACAACTTGTCAGTAGGCCACCAAATTTATGTTTTATGTGTAGGATAAAGCACGAGACTGAGGTTATGCTGGGAAAAGAAAGACTGAAGAAAATAACCCGAGAGGCCGAGATTATTTTTCTGTCGAGGGTTTTGTCTGAAGTCCTTCTTCCCCCAGCATATCCGAAGTCGAGGACTTTATCTTGCTTATAAACCGTAGATGTTTACATGTAAGTAAAATGAGAATATCCCAGAATTCCCATAAGAAAAAACCTTATATCATGTTTTCTTATGGAAAAGAAACCTACCATGGAAGAATAACCCGTTACAGGTTTAAAGACAAACTTTCAAAAGAATAACCTCAAATTCCCCTGTATATATCCAAAGTCGCCCCCGACTTTCAGACCGCAAGTTATTCTGGACATAGAATGTACCCCAAAGATCATAGGTTAATAAAATGAAATACCTAGTGTATACAAGGTTATATGCCTGCACGCTGCGCCCGAATTAGTTAGAGTGGGTCTCCAGGTTTGATCTAGCTTCAACTCCGTATATCTGATCAAGCCCTTCTCGTTTGATTTGAGTGTGTTTGTGTCGCGGCCTATGACAGGACAACGCTATTATTCACGTGTCGGTGCCAAAGGGAGATAACGTACCTATAAGTTCGGGAATTTCTGAATAATCTAGCAACGGCTATTGATAAATTTTTCCCTAACAATATTGTAGTTGTAAGATATCAACAGTACCTTAAATAATAACCCGAGGCCTACATTCTTTTAAATAACTAACAGGTGTTTGTACAATTATAAGGTTTCTTGATTGGGGGGGGGGGCTTCCATCCTAGGTCATTATAGGCAAGGGTCCAGGGGCCGTAATAACCTGGAGAAAAGAGTACTTGCGCCCCCCCCCCCCCCCGACTCCTCCGGGCCTGTTTTTTAAGCAGAGTGGCAGTACAACAGTGATAGTTCGGGTATGGTGGTCATTGAGTGAAACAAGCTCATACTATATACAATCACATAAGATGTACACAGCATATAAAAAACAAAATTATTTATAATTTACAAATTAAACCTTGATAATTCAGGTCAAAATTATTTATTGAATTGGGTTGATCTGGAGATGGGGCCAGATTCATAAAATTAAATATTTGTCGACAGTCGAACACAGAATGGTTTCTATCCATAGATACGGGCTTTATCCATGGACAAATTTTCATCCCGTAAAATCAATCAATAGATGAAATCTGACGATATCGACCAATATCAAAGATGTTTTGTGAGTTAAACAGGTTCGGGAAACTCAAGAACACAATGAATTGTAAATATTATAATAACTAGTGACCGGCGCAGGATATTTGGTTCATGTGGGGCTTCGATTGGGGCGAGGAGTCCCCCGGGAAAATTTGAAAAATCTGGGTGTCATTAGTGATTTCAATATTACACTCAATTTGATCAGCTACATCACACCAACCAAAGAGAGAGAGAGAGAGAGAGAGGGGGGGGGGGTAACGTCCACTCGACACATACAAGGCCATTTCGGGACTAACATATTGTTTAATTTTATTTCAATAATTCGCTTGCGCGTAGGGGTCTTTATCAGTGGGAGGAAACCGGAGGACCCGGAGAAAATCCACGAGGTTGGACAGGCGACCAGTTGACTCAATGACAGACTTTATGATACAGCGCGCACGGGCTAACCATTCAGTCATCCAACCCCCTTCACACCAACCAAAGAAAAGCTCAAATGTTCACGTTTTATGAAACATAATGACAAGTGAGATTTTTTTTATACCGTTATTTAAGAGAAGAGGGTGGTGGTGGGGGTGGGGTGGAAGGGGTGGATCCACATTATTGGGCGTGTTTTATTCCCGTATCTGCCTTTTTTATAATGCAGGTAACAGGTATTATCGATGGGATTTTTGATTTGAGTAGAAATACTAATTTTAAAACAACACATCCTCAGACATTGTCTGTATTGGACACCGCAGCCAGGTATAAGATGACAATAATTTAGCCGACTGGTATCATCTAACAATGTACACCACAGTAATAAATAGTTAGAACTATACAATTATTGAACAATTACACCAACGATATTATATAAAATGTACATTATTTACAAAAATAAAATAGAGTTATTTCCCTTCTCACAGCAACTGCAGCCAAAACCTGACCGCGCATTATTGTTGATCTTCCACCACAGCGCATAATTGACGCATTTTTTTTTAAAGATCACTTTAATATATTGAAATGAAATGAAATGGGGTTTAACGTCCTACTTTTCTACATCGAATGGGCAGATGAAGAAGGACATGCGCAATGAAGGGAACTATGATAGAGGGTTCGCCTTAACAACGGCCCACTCGTTTCCAATTCCTACTGTCACGGGTTGTTTTATGTGCATCTCGATTTTTGGTTCCATCCGAACGACTAGACACTGTAAATGAAGACAGGAATAAGCAAATCACGGTGCTATGATGGAAGGTTTACTCGAACATCGGCGCTACGGCCTACTCTTGTTTGGAATTCCAACGCGTTCTAGTGGGGTTGGATGGTAGAATGGTTAGCGCATGCGCGTTGTATCATAAAGTCTGTCATTGAAACAACTGGCGTGGTTTCGATTCCCCGGTTGTACGTGACAAGGAGTAGGGTCTCCTGTCCAACCTCGTCGATTTTCTCCGGGTCCTGCGGTTTTCCCCCTCTGCTGAGATACTCCTACACGAGAGAGGGGGGGGGGGGGTAACGTCCACTCGACACAAACTAGGCCATTTGGGGACTAACATATGGTTTAATTTTATTTCAATAATTCGCTTGTGCGTAGGAGTCTTTTAGCAGTGGGACCTAGAGAAAACCCACGAGGTTGGACAAGCAACCATGCCACTTGTCACGTACAACGGGATTCGAAACCAAGACAGAGACAGAGAGACAGAGACAGAGAGACACACAGAGACACACCCACAAACCATGTGATTTTGGTACTAACAATTGGTACAATTTTTATTTCAATAATTCGCTGTGGTGAGTATTGTGTTCACCTCTTCTAGTGCGTTAAAAAGGTTTCGCAACAGAGGGAATAACTCAAAACTTCTAAAATCTGTACGTCTGCAGTCTGCACATTGTATTATTATTGCCTGACAGTCACATAGAAAAAACTCGTCATTAAGAGGACTTGTACACGTCTATTTTTAAACATCAATGTCTGTTCTTCTCAATACATCACAAACAAGGTTTATGAAAACTTTTAATGGATTTTCCAATGACCTCTGATTCACCCAGACGTTCCACACGACTACGTGTTTTCGTGGGGGGTAAACTGTTTATCTAGAAGTGCCACGAACTGTCGTCAGTTCATATGTGTCAGAGGAAACAATCGGTGGACTTCGAACATACACCGTGGAGTATTCCGATCTAGTACTGGCGGAGGAGTAGACAAAACTCCTTTTAGCCGCATTGTTCTGACTCGGGCAAAGTTTCAAACCCCGAACACACTGCCAATTGGCATTAAATAGAAGGAAAACAAAGGGATTCGCAGCTGAGTTAGCTGCGGCTATTCCACCAAGGATACCATACAGAGCTTGTGACAACTTATGGTAATCGTCATAAGACATAATCATCTCAGCCACAAAATACGGTAATCCACAGATAACGTAGGCAGCTACAATCACCACGGTCATTTTCAAGGTTTTAATCTTGGCTTTAGGAAGAGAAGTGTTGGCCGTGCTTGTGAGGTGTATCTTACCAGGCTTGAAGCTCTGGCGTTTTGAGTTCTTGCTTTCGGCAGCTTTTTGGGCTATCTTTAGAAATATTCTGATGTAGCTGATGACGAGAATTATCAGCGGAAGTAAGAAGCTAACAATGGCGGCATAAGTAAGGAACGCTTGACGATGTATCATGGGCTTTCCCCGGAACGTATTCTCACATTTGTACATTTCTTTTATAGGATCGTACCGGATGTGGAACACAAAAAATAGCGGAACTGACGTCAAAGCAGCAAATCCCCAACCAACCAAACACATCATCCAGACCTGAAACAATATAGGAAAAAACGAGATAATTCATTAAAGTGGCTAAGTCTTTAACTCAATATCACCCAAAGTCTTCGACATTAAAAACACGAATTATTTGTCAATTAAAATCAACATTGATGTTGTGATCTTACCGGAAAAAGATTGACTTCTGATATCTAATATTTAAGACAAAATAAACATTTTACTATTGGTACACGAATCGTGTACCATAATGTGTTTCAGGGCCATTTGTAACAAGGGACTCGAAGAACCGGGCTAGACATATTCCACAAGTCATGTCAAACGGTGACTTCCTATTCTTATCTGGACAGCATGGCAAAAAATACTATCGATGTAGTCTTCTGGCGTATATCGCCGGACATAACTGATTAGAAATGAGAGTACAAACAGAAATGATTGAATGTAAATCAGTTTATATACATTCATATAACATTATTATATGCGTTGCGACCCATTTGTGTTCATACCGGGCTAATGAAGTTGTAAAAACGGACGTACGCCATGCATTGTACCATGATGCAAAACTTGTGCCTCAACAGTGGAGCTTCCGCCTACACTACCAAGGGTTCGTGTACGTGCATACTAATGTTCTAATGTATACACGGGATATTAATTTTTCTGGCGTTTCGCCCAACTCTTTGTCGAATTCCAACTGCCAGAGGTTTATTTAAGTGCATGCTAATGTGTACACGGGACTTAGTCCTTCTCCCTAAATCTTTGTTAACAGAGAGAGAGAAATGAGGTTTAACGTCCACTCAACACAAACTAGGTCATTTCGGGACTAACATATGGTTCAATTTTATTTCAATAATACGCTTGCGCGTAGGGGTCTTTAGCAGTGGGAGGAAACCGGAGGACCCGGAGAAACCCATGAGGTTGGGCAGGCGACTCTATACTCCTTGTAAAGAATACGATGAATAAAATACTTACTGGTGCAGGCTCTCGTAATGGTGATCGGATGGCCTGGTGACGATCGATGGCTATCACTACCAGCATATTAGCACTGGCAAACATGGAAAAACTCATACAAAATTTATAGGTTTTACATAAAAATCCCCCTGCTAGCCATTCTCGTTCCATGTGTTCCCAGACTAACTGAGGTAGGCAAGCCACAAATATAACTAACATGTCAGCTGCACACAGATTTAAAATAAGGGCGTTAACTCTTGATCGATGTTTCCGGTTGTACCACATCCACAGACAGACAAGAAGTCCACCAATGGCTCCAAGAACAATCACTATATATAAACACACGAGTCTTATCATGACGTCATATTCCATATCATGTACAGAATCGGGTATCGTTAAATTATTGGTGCTGATGGTCGTATTAGTCGGTGATGACGTCGACATCATGTGGTAAATCGTGTTGCCAAGTGACGCTAGAGTGTCCGTGATCTGTAGATCCACTGGTGTCGTGGCCGCCATATCTGTCGTCATCTCTTTTCCGTCCTGTAATAAAAAGTTGTGGTAAATAATTTCTGATATTTAAATAAACAATTTAATATAACCTTAAACATACATTATAACGTCACATTAATAATGACGTCATTATATTAATCATATTAAACATAAATTATGCAAGAGTTAAATCTGCCTATTGCAGGTCTTTCTTTAGGCCTGAAACGTTATCTAAATTATTAATTAGCCTGCGATTTTTATTGGATTAGGTTCCGATTTGCTGTTCGACTTCCATTCATAATTTAATCATGAATTGGATAATCGAGACTATGTTTTTTATCCTACCAACTTTACTGCTAAAGACCCCTACGCGCAAGCGAATTATTGAAATAAAATTGAACCATATGTTAGTCCCTGTTAACCATGATTTAGGGAGAATGACCAATGCCCGTGTACACATTAGCATGCACTTAAATGGTGATCGCGGCTAGGCCGAAAATTCAATCGCTAAAATCTCGGTTCATAGTGGATCAATTGGACTGAAATTTTTAGAAAATTGTCTTTACATTATCTAGTTTTTAACTATTATAGTGAGAACTGCCATCTCTTTATCTAATCTCCCATAATGTATCTTTATAAGTAATAGATAGAGTTGTATATATTACCGACAAACAGCTTAGTTCAAAACACCGTGTCTGATTTTCAAACTTACTTTACCAATACGGCTGAAAAATGTCCAATAATTTAGAACGATAGATAAACTAGAAATCGGATATCTTGGGACTAACATCATTATTGTAGTCAGAAAGAGAGAGCGAAATAGGGTTTAACGTCCACTCGACACAAACAAGGTCATTTCGGAATAACACATGGTTCAATTTTATTTCAATAATTCGCTTTCGCAGTGGGAGGAAACCGGAAGACCCGGAGAAAACCCACGAAGTTGGACAGGCGACGTACAACCGGGGAATCGAAACCACACCAGTTGACTTAATGAAAGACCTTATGATACAGCGTGCACGTGCTAACCATTCAGCCCCCCCCCCCCTTATTGTAGTCAAATATCCCTGCTTGTGTCTGTATTACAATCTATATAAACAACCTCGTGTTGGTACAAGCTCGTACACGACCTCGTGTTGGTACAAGCTCATCAGAGTCGCTGGTGAACTTTAACTTCCTTTTATTCAAGTCGGAAATGAAATGACATGAAATGGGGTTTAACGTCCTACTGTTCTGTACCGACTGGGCTAATGAAGGCTGCCATACGCCAGACAGTGTGCTATGACGGAAACTTACATGTAGGCACCTAAATGAGTAGAAATGTTGTTTTACAACTTCTGATTGATTTTATAAAATGCACGTGTAGCCCCCCCCCCCCACACACACACAAAGACCGCAGGGCACTTTTGACGTTATCTCTATCTCGGACACCCCTCTGCAAAAACAAATTCCTCTATAATAGTAAGTGCAGAGGGACTGCTCCACGCACAATTACACAAAACAACTCTACGGACAAGACACAAAACGCAGAAATAACAACCAAACGTACACAAATTAGATTAAGAGAACTGTAATGTTCAAAACGGTCCACCATAGTTTTTCTGGATAAAAGAGTCTTCTTTAGTAGTATTGAAGTATTTATGCAACTGGTGTGATTGTGTCTACTTTAAATTATTATGGTGAAATAACAACCAAACGTACACAAATTAGATTAAGAGAACTGTAATGTTCAAAACGGTCCACCATAGTTTTTCTGGATAAAAGAGTCTTCTTTAGTAGTATTGAAGTATTTATGCAACTGGTGTGATTGTGTCTACTTTAAATTATTATGGTATAGAAAAAGCGTGCTTAGAAACACAGTGAAAATGGCGTGAATGTGAATGTCAATACGTGTGAGGCCGTCTTCTCAAACGGCGGTCGTGATATCGGTTTTTTACCGAGACACTGTATGTAATTTAGTGTAATGTGTTAGTGAACTTTTTATCTACCTATTGTGAACAGTGAACGTTGTTTATTCTTGTGAACTCTATGTGAAATTCGACTCAATTGCCGAGTCAGCTGTGAAGTGATATCATGAACTGAGAACTGTCAAAACAGAATATGTGAAGTGTGAATGTAACTTTTGTCTTTTTTAACTTATATCATTAACATTAATCTGATTTATTATAAAACCGTTAATTCGTTCAATCAACACAGAACTCTGTTGTTTTGTTCAAGTTATTTTAAGGCTGCAATTCAGTATTATCATACTGACCTTTGACCCCTGAAGTGACCCGCTAACTATATACAGTGTCTGGCGTACGAACGGTATCGTCATAAACGCCGTGAAAGAAACGTGTAACGACGGACCCTCACATTGTTAGTAAAAAACCGTCAGGACATTGACAATACCAGACAATAATGTAAATTTAAAGTGAAAACAGTATATAACTTTATGGTGTGATGAAGATAAATTTTAGTGTATTATTTTTGTGCTTGTTTGTAATTTGTGAAATGGCATCCTTACCGCCAAGGTTTAGAAACCAATTAAGAAGAACATCACGCAGTTTGATGTGCAGAAGTGCAGACAACAGTGTGAACAGTGTTGACCCCGGGATTGTGCCAGTGGGCTTTCGGGTTCACAATGAGTTGGGAGGCCCAGGTGGGACTGGAGACGCCTTTGTGCCAGGTGATGGAACGGTTCCTAGTGGGGCCGGAGGCAGACGTTCAGGTGAACTTCCCAGTCGTGAGGGTGTGGATAATCCTAGGAATGTTCTTCCTGACGATGATATCAGACCAATAGATAGTATCTCTAACGTACCTTCAAGAAAAACTGCCTCCACTACACTTTCAAAGTTGAAATATCAAGCTATTCAAAAAGAAATTGAATTAAAGAATCAACTGATGACTTTAACAGAAAGAAATAAATTTGAAGATGAAAGAAAAGAATTAGAGAGCCGTTTAGAATTTGAAAAAGTGGAAGAAGAGATTCGACTAGCATCTGAAAAAGCAGAACGGCTGCGTAGAGAACATGAATTAAAGGCAAGATTAACAGAAATTAACAGAAAAGAAGAAGAATTGTTATTGAGATCTAAATTATCAAGTGCTGCAGAAGTTAATAGAATGTATGTTCAGGTAGATTCTGAAATTTCCTTTAAAAGGCCTGTGCAACCTTTGAATAACACTGGCCCTGTGAACAATGCAGTGAACATATGTGATCCTGTGACACCTGCTGTGAATGCTGTAAGCATGCGTGATCCTGTGACACCTGCTGTGTACAGTAACAATTCTTTTAACATTCATGAACCCATGATTGTACAACCCCCTATAGTGAACATTAACAATCGTGTAAACAGTCCTATAAACATTAGTGAAAAAGAACATGTGGATGTGAATCGAGATACAGAAACCATCAATCATAGTATGACGAAATCTGAGCCAGAAATTTCTACTATTTTATCCAAATTAATAGACAGTCAAAGGGAACAAGCGTTACCAGCCCAAGAACTGAAACCATTTAATGGTTCAAATATATTGGACTTTCCAATATTCATGAAAAACTTTAAATATGTGGTAGAGAACAATACTGTAGACCCAAGTCGTAGACTTGAACTGTTAATAAGATACACACAGGGCGATGCCTACGAGTTGATAAAGCAATGTCCAATGATAGTGCCTGCATCAGCAGCATATATTAAAGCCAAAAACTTATTGAACCGTGATTATGGAAACCCTTTTATTTTGGCAGCTGCCTTTCGAAGTAAGGCAGAAACGTGGCCGAAAATACTTATAGGTGACAAAAGTGGACTTCGAAAGTATTCCCTTTTCTTAAATAACTGTTGTAACATAAAACATTCTAATTCAGACATGTCGTCCATGGACAGCAGTGAATTCTTAAAACTTTTAGCATCTAAGTTACCAGTTTCATTGCAACAGCAGTGGATTGGTCGTGTAGGAGATTTAAGGGAAAATGGTAACAGAGCTCCAGTGTTGGAAGATTTAGAGAACTTCGTCAGTAAGATTTCAAGAAATGAAAACGACCCCAGAGTGAGCGGTTTGGGTTATCAATTACGTACACCCACATCAACTTTCCCTCATGTTGCTAGTAACAAGATTACGCATCAGTCGCGTAAAATATTTTCGACTCAAGTCAATAAAGTTAATTTAGCAGCGCAACCTCCCTGTTTATATTGCTCGGGTATGCATTCTCTGTTCTCATGTCGTAAATTTAGTAATTTGAATAACAATGACAAATCGTTAGAAGTTAAAAAAAGGGGACTTTGTTTTGCATGTTTGAACCCTAAACATATGAAAAGTGACTGCCCAAATCCCCAGTGGGCTAAGTGTGATAAATGCATCAGAAAGCATACAACTATAATGCATGACCCTACTAGAGATGACATTTCTCGTGACAAACAAGTAAGTACGTTGATATCTGGTGAATCAAAATCCTATAACTCTAAATCATTTGTACCGAAATCAGAACATGAAAGTAAGGTATCTTCTGGCTGTGTACTAGGCAATACCAACCCCTTGATGGCCATTTTGCCTATACTTATTAAGCATAAAAACAGTGATGACTATGTAGCAACATATGCATTTGTTGACAATGGCTCAGCTGCTAGTTTCATAAATTCTGATCTTGCTCATCGTTTAAAAGTCAGTGGACGATCCACTTGTGTTACTCTCAAAACATTAAATTCTATAGAAACTCTTAAAACTGAAATTCTTGATAATTTACAAATAAGCAGTCTCGATTGTGATCAGTTTTTAGATTTACCTCCTACTTATGTGAAGAATGATATGCCTGTTGACATGTGTGATGTACCCAGAAAAGATGATTTATATGCTTGGAAACATTTAAGTCACATTAATGTATCATATATTTGTGAATTTCCTAATTTTATTCCAAAAGTTAGTCTAATGATAGGTGTGAACATGCCTGCTGCTACAACGCCATTAGAAGTGTGCACTGGTAACATTGGTGAGCCTTATGGGATTAAATCACCATTAGGATGGTTGTTATATGGTTTACCGGGTAAACTACAAAATTCTTCTGCTTCAATTAGTATTAATTTATGCCGGATTGATGATAGTCTCGAGCAACAAGTAAAGAAATATTTTAATTTAGAATTTAGTGAAAAGCTTTGTGAAGACAAGCACTCATTGTCTATTGAAGACAAACAGTTTTTGAGCATTTTAACTAACTCTATTGAATTAAAAGACAGTCATTATCAGACTGAATTACCGTTTCGTGACAGATCAGTTATTATGCCTAATAACAAACTTCAGGCTGAAGCATTTGCCTACAGACTTGAAAATAAACTCGTGAAAGACCATTCTTTAAATGAACAGTATTGCAAATTCATGAACAATTTAGAATCCAAGAAATACTCTGAAATTGTCCCACCAAGTGAAATTGATAGGAGTGATGGCCGTGTGTGGTATGTACCGTATCATCACGTGATACACCTTAAAAAGCCAGATAAACTGCGTGTAGTCTTTAATTGCCCGCTTATCTTTCAACAGACCTCACTAAATGAGCAACTTTTACAAGGGCCAGATTTGACTAACTTATTGCTAGGTGTATTATTGCGATGGAGACAAGATTATATCGCGGTTATGGCTGATGTAGAACAAATGTTCTATCAGGTCAGAGTTGTGAAGAGAGACTGTGACATGCTTCGCTATTTATGGTGGCCCAACGGTGACATTAATGGACATCTTACTGAATATAGAATGCGAGTGCATATTTTTGGTGCAGTTAGCTCACCTAGCTGTGCAAACTTTGCTCTGAAGCAAACGGCTTTGGATAATACCAACGATTATTCCCATGAAATAATCAATGCTGTAAATTATGATTTTTACGTAGACGATTTCTTAAAGTCTATGACTACAGAAACGGAATGTGTAAAACTGATTCGTGAAATATGTGATCTCTTATCCAAAGGTGGATTTCGCCTTACCAAGTGGGTGAGCAATAGCAGAAATGTATTGTCTACTATTCCCGAAAATGATTTAGCTGAACAAGTGATGGATCTTGACATTTCTTCAGATTCTTTACCCGTGCAACGAGCCTTAGGTGTCCAGTGGAACATTGAATTAGATTTAATTGAGTTTAACATTGGTGAAGTTAACAGAACCGCAACGCGACGTAATATACTATCCGTGTTCAGTTCCATTTATGATCCCTTCGGATTAGCATCTCCGTTTGTGCTAAAATGTAAAATAATCCTCCAGCATTTATGTCGAGATAAGTTATCGTGGGATGAAATGATCCCAGTTGATCGACAAAGAGAATGGAATAACTGGCTTACTGATCTTGCGAATTTACATAATTTGTCAATTCAGAGATGTGTGAAACCCCAGAACTTTGGAAAGATTGTGAACACTCAAATACATCATTTCAGTGATGCATCGCAAGAGGGTTATGGTTCAGTTACTTATTTAAGATTTCAAAGTGATAAAAATGAGATACACATTTCATTTTTACTTGGGCGTTCTCGTGTAGCACCCATAAAGCCCCACACCATAGTTAAATTAGAGCTCGCAGCAGCTACATCGATTGTGAGAATTCATAACATGTTATCACGTGAATTGTCGATTCCTATTAATCAAGTGTATTTTTGGTCCGACAGCCAAACAGTTTTAAAGTACATACATGATGTAAAAGCACGTCACCAAGTTTTTGTCGCAAACAGACTTGCAGTAATTCATGACGGTTCTAACGTGAATCAGTGGCGTTTTGTGCCTGGAAAGCTAAATCCAGCTGACCTAGCATCTCGTGGATCGTGTGTGGAGAATATCGCAAATAACTCCATGTGGTTATGTGGACCAGAATTTCTGAAATTATCAATTAATGATTGGCCGGAGAACATAGTTCCATTGAATAATGATGAAGATATACAAGTACCTACTAATTTTGTGAGAACCAATGATTCTGTGAATGCAGTAAATACATTGATAGATAAGTACTCTGATTTTTATCGATTAAAGCGTGCGATATCATGGTGGTTAAGATTAAAGCAAATTTTAAAGTATAAAGCTCAAAAATGTTTAATTCCTGATAGTTTGTGTACTAAGTCATTATCTGTTGAGGAAATTAATAGTGCTGAAGTGGAAATCATTAAGTTTGTTCAAAATCAAGTATATTCTGATGAAATAAAGTGTCTTAGTGAAAACGGTGAAAATCCTAATAATGTGAAAAACGTCAAAAACAAAAGTGAAATTTCAAGTTTGGATCCATTTCTTAAAGATGGAATCTTGCGTGTTGATGGAAGATTGCGCAATGCAAACGTGCCTTTTAATTTTAAGCATCAAATTATACTGCCTAAAAGTTGTCATGTTTCAAATCTCATTGCTAAATATTGTCATGTTAATGTAGCCCATATGGGTAGAAATCATACTATTAGTAATATTAGAAAAAAATATTGGATAGTTAAATGTGGTGTATTAGTTAAGTCTATTTTAAGTAAATGTGTGATTTGTAGAAAATATCAGTCTAGAGTTAGTGAACAGAAAATGAGTGACATTCCATATTTTCGACTTAAACCTGATTTACCTGCTTTTAGTAAAGTAGGAATTGATTATTTTGGTCCTTTTGAAATCAAAACAGGACGTTCTATCCGTAAGCGATACGGTGTTGTATTTACATGTATGATATCTTGTGCCACGCATATAGAAGTTTCTAATTCCTTAGACACTAGTTCGTGTGTGAATGCCCTAAGACGTTTTATTGCCCGTAGAGGTACGCCCAGTGATATATATTCAGATAATGGAACAAACTTAATTGGTGCTCAGAAAGAACTGAAACAATCATTATATGATCTGAATCAAACACAGATTGAGAACTTTTCAACTCAAGGTGGATTTAAGTGGCATTTCAACCCCCCTACAGCATCCCATTTTGGCGGATTGTGGGAGAGGCAGATAAGGACTATAAGAAAAATCCTATATGGGATTCTGTGTGAACAATTTTTGCGAACAGCACAAAGTGATGAAGAACTAATCACTTTCCTTTGTGAAGTAGAGGCTGTAATAAACAGTAGACCTCTGACTTGTGTATGAAGTGATTCCAATGACTTGGAAGTGATAACTCCTAATTCACTTCTTATGTGTCACCAAAATGTGTTATTTCCCCCTGGATTATTCAATGAACGTGATGTATATTCAAAGAGACGGTGGCGTCAAATCCAGTATTTGACTGATCTCTTTTGGAAACGTTGGACTGATGAATATTTGCATTCATTACAACGTCGTGAAAAGTGGCTCAATCCTTCTAGAAATATAAAAGTTGGTGACATTGCTCTTATAGTCGATTCAAGTGCGCCCCGTGGGTCGTGGCCCATGGGTATCGTTGAAGAAGTGTATCCAGACAAGCATGGTCTTGTACGTAGTGTAAAATTAAGGACAAAAACAAGTATTTTGACTCGTCCTATAGCTAAATTATGTTTAATCTTAGAAAATGACAGTTAAATTTTTCAGAATTTATTTAGTTTTGATATTTACATTGCTTATGTGTATTGAAATGATATTAGATTTATTGTTTGTGTTACCATAAGTAAATTTTGTGAACTATGTAACTATAGAACTAAAATAGTTAAATACTATAAGTACATGTATGCTTAAATGTGAATCTGTGAAATAAGGTTTCAATTGTCAAATGTGAATTTATCTTAATTTTTCTATTGCATCATTGTAATAAGGTGTGAATGTTTGTATTCTGTATGGATATGATGAGGTATGAAAGCTATTTTAGTATTATAAGACACTGATTATTTGTGTAACAGTCTATTGAATTCTGAAGTTAAGAATATTGTATATTTAGTTTGGATTTTTGAACATATTGCGTTATTATCTCATTTTCATTTCGATAGGGGCCGGTGTGTAATGTTCAAAACGGTCCACCATAGTTTTTCTGGATAAAAGAGTCTTCTTTAGTAGTATTGAAGTATTTATGCAACTGGTGTGATTGTGTCTACTTTAAATTATTATGGTATAGAAAAAGCGTGCTTAGAAACACAGTGAAAATGGCGTGAATGTGAATGTCAATACGTGTGAGGCCGTCTTCTCAAACGGCGGTCGTGATATCGGTTTTTTACCGAGACACTGTATGTAATTTAGTGTAATGTGTTAGTGAACTTTTTATCTACCTATTGTGAACAGTGAACGTTGTTTATTCTTGTGAACTCTATGTGAAATTCGACTCAATTGCCGAGTCAGCTGTGAAGTGATATCATGAACTGAGAACTGTCAAAACAGAATATGTGAAGTGTGAATGTAACTTTTGTCTTTTTTAACTTATATCATTAACATTAATCTGATTTATTATAAAACCGTTAATTCGTTCAATCAACACAGAACTCTGTTGTTTTGTTCAAGTTATTTTAAGGCTGCAATTCAGTATTATCATACTGACCTTTGACCCCTGAAGTGACCCGCTAACTATATACAGTGTCTGGCGTACGAACGGTATCGTCATAAACGCCGTGAAAGAAACGTGTAACGACGGACCCTCACAAGAACGGATCCGGGGGCTAGCCGTAAGCGTCCACTGCGCTGTACCGTGCTGGGCCGGGTCTGTAATGGCTTCACTCAAAATTTAAAAAAAAAATAAACAAAATGATGATTTATAAAATAAGACGTAACAAAAGTATATGATGTGGCGTGGTTCCCCCTTGTCAGTGATGTAGGAAAGAGGGCCGGACAAGAATAGCTGTCTAGTCTTCCGGATGGGACGAAAAACCGAGGTCCCGCGTACACATTGGCGTGCACGTTAAAGATCCCTTGACAGTTGGAATTCGATATACGAGTAGGCCGTAGTGCCGCTGTCCGGGCAAAATCCCCCTCATACCACACTGTATGGCGTATGCCCGTCTTCATTAGCCCAATAGGAGCAGAACAGTAGGACGTTAAACCCCATTTCATTTCATTTTGTGTCATTATTAAACGCATGGGTAATATTATAGTTCTGATATTTACAACATAATCTAATGATACTAAAACCATTATACGTGTAATATGCAATTACAGTCTAACCAAGCAGAACGCTAGAAGTCAGATAAAATAACACCACCGTTACTATGGTGACATTAAAACAATAGTATCAAACACATTAATTTAGGTAAATTCCCCGTTCCCGAGAATCATTCACGGCTTCAATATTTTTTTTTATAATCATGTAATTAATCAGACTGATAGAAAGAAAGATGGCGGATGGTGTTTGCGTATTGTGGTCTCTATGGTAACGTGATTATGTAAACAGACTGTCTGGCTTTAAATATAAACTCATCAAGACCGGAAATGAATCGCGATGTTTATAAAGTTTCTTATTTTCTTCAGAAAACCCTAAAACTGTTGTATTTGATGAACGTCTAACAATGTTTGTTAATTCATCTACAGAGATTCATTGACTGTGTTTTCTGTTGTATTTGGATTTCTAAGTTAAAGTCGACTTCCAGCCGACTCATTGTCGTTTGAAAGGATTCGTTGAAATAACCCAGACCATTAATTGCATTCTATAGTTAGGTGTGAAATGCTAGGATGAAGAATTTTACCCGAGTCGTTTTTGCATCCGGGGGGGGGGGGGGTTGGATGGCTGAATGGTTAGCGTGCGCGCGCTGTATCATTAAGCCTGTCATTGAGTCGACTGGCGTGGTTTCGAATCCCCGGTTGTACGTGACAAGGTGTAGGGTCGCCTGTCCAACCTCGTGGTTTTTTTCCGGGTCCTCCGGTTTCCTCCCACTGCTAAAGACCCCTACGCGCAAGCGAATTATTGAAATAAAATTAAACCATATGTTAGTCCCGAAATGACCTAGTTTGTGTCGAGTGGACGTTAAACCTCATTTCTCTCTCTCTCTCTCTCTCTCTCTCTCTCTCTCTTTC